AGGCAAAGATACAGAAAGAATGAACATACAATTGGGAGAGAGGGGGGACAAAGTGGGGATGATAACCCTCGCTTGATATTCGTAATTAAGACGTTCCCGGCAATTGGATTACCTTTACGATCGGCGTAAAACCCGATCATTCCGCGCACGCACGAATCAGGTTCTTCCCTTGGTTGTGCGGTGAGTGATTGCGTTGTTTGAAGATGCCTCTGGCGCATGCCGCGCGCCATTACATAGGATTTTCCCGCCATCTTTCGCGCGAGTTAGATTATAATACGCGAAGGATGAGAATTAACTAGATTGTGGATATTTATACGTATTTATAATTGTAAGATTATAATTAACCCCTAAGTAGCATCGTCGGGTTATGGATGTCTGTAGTAATTTACATTTGTTAGGTTAGGTTGGTAGAGAATCTGGGTGGAAAATTGTTTCATTTGCGAAATTTTGTAATAGACATATTTTCATTCATCTTATCACGGGATCGTGGCTTTATATATCGCATTCTAGGGTTAATCCTTCGCGTACGAAGGTATTAAACTGGACTATACAAAGAAGATATGTATCGGAGTTTCCGAGTAATCTCACTCAGTATGCAAAGGGTGAAAACATGGTGAACAAGTTTAGAACGCGGCTGACTGTCAGGAATATGCACAGCATGCAGTTGTTTTACCGATTAGAGTTCAATTCGTTTCAAACGAAATCTGGTCAACTGAAGAATCTCTTCATCTAAATGTCGCATTTGTAGTTGCTCTGTCCTCTCGGATTCAATATTATCGGCTACACGACAACGGCCTGAACGACTTGTTCGCTGTACATTTTCGTTCATGGAAGCGAATCAATAAAACATGTATTCAAACAAGAATTCAAGTTGACGATCTGTTTTCGTTCTTCCAGCAAGGATGTCGAGCAGCGGCGTGGCGAGCGGCCCGGTGAGCCAGGTCTGTCGGCCGCATTTCCACAGCTCGGTGTTGCACCCGTGGCTGTCTGGCAGCGGTGCGGACACGTCGAAAACACCGTGGGGATTCCCGACGACGACCGGCTCGACCGGCGGCGGGGCGATCAGCGACGACAAACCGCAGAGCCCGCTTGGTTCCTCGCTACCACCGAGTACCGGTAGCCTGTCGAGTCACGGCGGTGCCGGTGCCGGTCATCACCTTTTCTCGTTCCCGCCGACGCCTCCGAAAGACGCCACTCCCGACAGCATCACCGCCAGCACCACCTCGAGCAGCACCAACAACAACAACAACAACACCAGCAGCGCCAACAATAACAACAACGCCAGCAACAACGCGAGTAACAACCCCCTGTCCGGTTTAGGCGGCGGCGCGAGCAGCGAGTACCAAGCGGCGGTGGCGCACGCGGCGGCGATGGGCGTGTTCATGCACCATCAGGACGCGCTTGGTGGCGGTGGCGCGAGTTCCTGCGACGTGAAGCCGAGCGTGATGCTCGGCCACCATCACGGAGCGCCGTCGCCGCCGCATCAGCAGCACAACGGGACGACGAACGCCGGGAACGGCGGGGCCGGGGCGAACGGCGGCGGAGCGACCGGTCAGGTGAAGCAACGCGAAGGTAATAACCAATCGGGCAACGTGTCCGGCAGCCAACAGGCGAGCACCACGCAACAGCAACAGCAACAGCAGCAACAACAACAACAACAGCAGCAAGAGGCGGCGTATCAGGGGAACAACGTGGGGGCGGGCGGTGGTGGCGGCGGTGGCGGCGGTGGCGCTAGTTCACCGTCGTGCAGGGACAGTTACGCGGCCGCAGCCGCCGCCGCTGCCGCGGCCGCGGCCGCGGCTGCCTCCAACACCCACCACGCCACCTCCGGATCCCAGTACGACCCGGCAACCAGCGCGTATAACATGTACCAGCACCTGCAGTATCCTAGTACCACCCACCATCATCACCATCACCATCATCACGGCGCCTCCTCGTCGTCTTCTTCGTCTTCGTCCCACAATCCGCACAACGGGTCCGCGGTTACCGGTATATTCGGGCATCACGCGGCGGCGGCGGCCGCCGCCGCCGGTGCCGGCAACGCGGCCGGCGTGGCCGGCGTAAACGTCGACTCGAAGTTGTTGGTCGGTCACGCGCACGCCAACACGCCGAGCTCGCCGTCCGCGCAGCAGCAGCAGCAGCAAAAGCCCAGGAACAAGTCGAGGACGTCCGCCGGTAAGCGGCACGCCTACCACCTTTTCCCTTTTTTTTTTTTTTTTTACTTTTTCTTTTCTTTTCTTTTCTTTTGTTTATTTGTTGTTGTTGTTCTTTTTCTTTTTTCTTTCGTTCATTCGTTTGCGGTTCTTCCTGGTGTCTTGGGTTCTTCTTGAAAGTTTCTTTCGCGTCTCGTTTCCGCGCGCTGCTCTCTGACGGTCGTTTCAATGTTGAAACGCTGCAGAGTGCTCAACTCATTAGCGAAGCAACGTTCTAATTGATTGCCATTGATCTTCAGTTAAGGGGACTTTTTATCCCATTTCATTGGATAAAAAATTGTTAGATCGTAGGTTTTGAATTGAGAGGAATATTCTCCCCCCCCCATTTAGATAAATTGTTCTTGCTTGAAAATAAAATCTGTTTCAGTAGAGATTTCATAATTCGATAAATTGCTTCTGGTCACGTCATATTTTGCAAGTTATTCAAATCTCTGTTGATAATGTAAGAGAAACAGTTCTAGTAGCAGCTCTAATGTTAATATCTTTATCGTTAACATTTCTCTACTTAGAGATTTACATATCTATAATTTGGTCAAATTTAAAAGCATTTAAGTACATCCAAGTATCGAATACATTAATTGTATTCTCGCTTGCTCCTTGACGAGTCAAGTTGGAATTTCTTCCAAACGTCAGGCGCATGCGCCGAAGCGCCTTCACAGCGCATGTGCCAGAGATTTTTCGATTGCGAACGCCAGCATTCGCTACAAACAGCATTCGTAAACATCTCTGCGTCTGACGCTTATAGAAAATTCCACCTTTTCGCGACAGCGCGAAACGAGACAGCACGAAAGCGGTCGTTTCTGGTTTCGAAATGTGTTTTCCTCCTCAAAGTATCAGTAGAATGTGCCCGTTCGTGATCGGACGAAGCCACGCTCCCACCGGAACGACCGCACCCTATTTTTTTTTCTTTCCTTTCATTTGGTACTAACGCTTTTTGGTTTCCTTGGTTTTGCTTGTACGCACGAAACCCGGCGCGTTGGACCATCTGCAAGCACACGAAGCACCGGGATTCGCGCGGTTTTTCGCTTTAAGTTCCGGTATATCCTTCGTTTGCATTCACTTCTTTTTCGTCATACTGGGGTTACTTTTTCCGTTGGTATTTTTCTTTCTTTTCCTTTTTCTTTTTCATCGACTCTCGAGGTTCGTCTCTGTCGGGCAATGGTGTTCCTCGCGCCAATCGATATTCCTCGGGCACCGTTGTTCCTGGAATACAGCGAGATACGAGGAACGCCATTTTCGCTTTTAACCTGTTAACTGTATAGAGTTGGAATCAAAAGATGAACATTCAGACACGAAGTAAACACGTGTGCATGTTGGTTTTGAAAAATTAATTTTCTTCAAATTCATTGACATTGCTGATTGAAATTTCAACATTACATTTTTAAAAACACTGAAAGACGATAAGTCGCGTTCCTGTTCTCAGCTTTTCTTTCATTCTAACGACAGATCTTTTGAAAGTAGCTGCTGCACCATTCCATTAATTGCAACCTCACACACTGAAATGCAATAATAAACTTGTAATTCAACTTAACCTTAACAATTAAATTGAAATAGCAAGATCTATGCAATATCGTCTTTCAAACATTTTTCAAACATGATTGACAGGTTATAAGCCGAGGGACCTCGAGTCGTCTTTGGTCCTTAAATTCTTTCATTTCGTTTCGATCCCCCGACGAGCTTTTGGTGGCGGTCGTCTTTCGCTTACAGTTCGTTGATAAAAACGACGAACACATACATATATACATATCTATATATATATATCTTTTTTTTTTTCTTTCCTTTTTATCGAAACGAGCTGAGTGTTGTCGACGAGAGGGAGACACGTATTTTTGTATTTTTGCCTCACCGATGTGTTTTTTGAGTGGCACCCGCGAGAACATCGAGCGTGAACAGCACCACACCTGATTGATTTTTATATGACGAACGTCGATGCACAGGGGGCAGGGGGGAGGGACCACCGAGAAAGGGAACGCCTTATAAACGTCTCTAATTGTTTCGTACGGAGATTCTCGTCGAAAATTTCGGGAAAGTACAAGCTTTAATGTACAACATCTCGCCAGGGGATGGGTCTTGGACGAGATATTCGTATTCGTACCATTTTCTCACGGGCCATTCCTTTCTCTGTGCCTTTCTCTCTGCATAGATCTCTCTCTCTCTCTCTCTATATATATATATATATTTTTTTTATAAATACACAAGTGTAAAACACACGCGTGTACGACCACGCGCGCC